ATTATTACATACGCGGGAGAGGTTCGCCTTTAAAAAGCGTGAAGCTACATAAGTAGTCAGTAGTTCAGTACTGCTAATAGACGTGCGATCGATATTTGTCGGAAGAACAGAATGCGCGCGGTGAGTCTGGTCTGTTTCCGTCCGTCACCATTCGCCGGCCTCAGGTGGCGAGAGTTGTACGACGCGATTCCATTGGTTCAGACGATCTCAGCTGAGGTCTGGTACGAGTCGACCAACGGTTTACTCACACCATATCAAACGTAACCCGATTATTCTCCCCGATCCCTCCTATAACAGCCGGTATAACGTGATTCTCAACAGAAGGTTAGAGAGAGAGAGAGAGAGGAAGAAAAAGAAAAGAAACCATGATTCGGAGGATTTTGAGATCAGCGCAGAATTCGTTTCAGACTAGAACTCTTGAAGCTGCAGATTGTCCGCGTTTTTTTCTTACTTACATTCGTTTTAATAATTGGAAATGTTGTAGGACTTTATTAAAAAAAAATATATATATTGTAACTCACAAGTTTATATTAGATAGCAAAGCTTATACTAACGAGAGTTACTTAAAAGCTAAAAAATAAAGAGACAGTTTTGTTAAGGAAAAAACAAAACATTCTTAATTTGTCGCGGCCGGAAAAACAGCTCAGTCGTATATATAAGTATACAGTAAAACCTCGTTTATCCGAGGTAATGTGGGGAAGGGGTACCTCGGATAAGCGAAAACTCGGATAACACGGAATAAATAAAAAAAACTCGAAAACTTCCCTTATTTTTGGTATATTTAAAATGGTACAAGAGAATTTAACCACATTAACATATGAAAATGAAAAATTAACGAACGTGGATTAATTTTTCGCGTAACAAGCATTATGTACATACTTACATACATATGTATGTTGTACTTCGCGCGCATTGCATAGCAGCGAAACGTCATCCGTTTCATCCGAGTTTTTCCGTATTATCCGAGCGCACAGCTCGGTTAACGCGGAGTGCTCGGATAAGTCCGGTGGCTCGGATAACGCGGAGACTCGGTTGATCGAAGGCCGGATAAACGAGGTTTTACTGTATAGCGATAATGAAGGTATGCATGTGACGTATATGCATTCAGATCATTTAAATGAACGGCGATAAAGATAAAACGCTAAGTCAGCTTACCGAGATCTATTATCGAAATCAGCTGTTTCGCGAAAATAGACTGCCTGCCGTTCAACGTCGTGACATACAAACTTCTCATCGCGCGGGATAAAGATAAAAAAAATCGTACGATTGTTGAGACAATCGACGATAAGAATTGACGATAACAGCGTCAAAAATGTAAATGAATTTTTCATCGGTGTATGACAGACCAAAATCTGACCCTGTACAAGCAGATGCAATAATTACTTGTCAGTGTTAACACTGAATACTAAAAATACACGTAAATGCCAATTACTAATGTTTTTATGGTACTTTGAGTTTCTTGTCACGGACAAACAAGATTACGATGTAAAAAAAAACACCCGTACATTTTTTAAAGCAAATTAAAGTTTACAAGCATCCATATATGATTTTATATTTTTTGTGTTTTGATTTTACATTTCAACTTTTTTGTATTCCTTTATTATATTCTTCGTAAATTATATCTTCCTTTTCATCACACAATTATTACACAATAACATGCATTAAAATAGATAATATTGATGTACGAGATTTTAGCAAGATATCAATAAGAGCCCGCACTTGATTTTAAACATTATCTAAAAGTTATTCATCGAAATTAATTTTGCAATTGATTTAAATTAGATAATATCACTCTTAATGGTCCTCAATTAATTCTTTTCATTGGTACATACATTGAGTGCGCTAAGTACTCTCAAGCGACTTGTTATGCGCATATCAATTAGCAAAATGTGTGCACTTTACTCCTATTAAGTCTCATAAATACAGCAATAAGTACAATATTTAATAAATCATAAAAATGCAATTTATTTGCACGTTAAGCCACGATTACGATTTTAAAGAACAAAAGACTTGAATTATTTACAAATTAACAGTCCTGCAGTGCCTCTCGTTAGAAATATGAAGAGGAGCAAAGCAATTCCTATCAAAATTATCAATCTCAGCCAGCCACGTTTCACATGCATAATTATATTGTAATTTATATATCAAACCCAGATTTTAATAATTGTAATCAACTTATATTTTGACATATCATGTGCGTTCAATATTGAACAATAATTCTGTAGCTAATTCCAATTTTATAGTTTTGCGATCATCAAAAATGAAAAAAATTACGTGCAGCATGCGGTTATAAATAATTTATACATTATCTCTTAATCAAAGCATGTTAAATGTCAAGTAAATTGATATGGATACTGAACGGAATTCATAGCATTTTGGTTTATCCGACAACTCGGAGATATCATTAATAATTTGTAAAAAGAATTAATCTTTAATTATCAATCATACGTATTTTTATTGATTTATTTGTCAACATATTCCATCGATAAAGATGTGACGCGTGTGAATACAATTCATATAATAATGGCAAATGATAAGTTATTTTTTATATTACCGCGATATAATATCATTGTGTTAGATTGATCGATGTGCTACGTGAGAAATACGGCCTGACCTCGAAGCCTTTGCAGCCTTGGCAATGATCGAGCTCGCTCGAACGAGGCCGTTCTTAAAGCTGCGTCCTCAACCTTGTTATAGTCACATCTAAAATATCATGATATTGCAGTTACTATATAGGTATATAATAATGAGAGTTTTCGATCAATGGGTTATAAGTGTACAATGCAATAAATTATATCGTTCTTCAAATATAATTTCAAGTACGATGTATCTCATTTATTGCATATTCTCGGTAATAAAACAAGTAAAAAGTTAATTATTTAACTATAAGTTAATAATAACACATTTTCTCTAAGGGAACATATAAACGCAACTTGTACTTTAATAATTTTCATAATTCAATAAAAATATTGAAAGTACTTACTATGTTATTGTGATGATGCTGTTATTGTGATATTATTGAACACGATATCTCACGCATTTCACGTTTATCTTATTACGTGACTGTTCAGTCACTTATCACGTGACTGCTCTAAACAGACCGATTGTGTAATTAATGAATTAATCTCTAATTGCATGAATAAACATGTTGATTATTAATATATTCATTGGCATAATTAGTACATCGAAAAAAAGTCGCAAAGTTTAGGTTTTATTGGTTATTCTCGCATTATATATTCTCTTTTTTTTTTCAATTACTTAAATATACATGCATAATCGCGCTAAAAAAAAGCCTGACGAGTTTTTACACGTTTTCGTCTCGCGCAAATTATTTCGAGATTCGATTATAGTAACTTTATCCCAATGACCGTGATTGTTCGGAGGATCAGCTGATCGCTCATCAAACGCGTCCCCGCGCAGGCGGCTGTCGACGAAAATACCGTGTGCCGGCGTCCCGGCGCCGCGCAAGCCTGCGCCTAGAGGACGTCCGTCCGAGGATCCAGCCGGTAGTCGATAGACGACCCTCGACCGGGCACCACCGAGAGACCATCTCGATCCTTGTGCTCGCGATCGCATAGGCGGATCCTCGGCTTCGGATTCGTACACTCTCGCGCATTTAACGGAATTGAGGACGACCTGCGGGATTGCGACGACGAGCTCCGTATGTATGCACGTCGGTCTCTCGATAAATCAGCCAATAATTCGAAAACTGTCAAGTGATATGTAACCGTTAAGTTGACGTCGAGGAAAAATCGAGTCCAAAGTGATTAAAATAATTAAAACAGTTAAAATAAAATTTAAAAAACAGATTTTGGGATCTAAAAAATTTCAAATCTACGTACGAGACGATTCAAGTAAAAGTCTATTTTCTGTAACTGGTAACAGCGAGAAGTCGTATACTCCGTTATTACGTTACAGAACAGCGAATACGTCGTGTGAGTATTCGCTCTTCGCGGTTTCATTAGCGTCATCGACGGATCAGAGTCTAAACACGTATACGGGTCTCGCGACGCGAGTTTCTAACTCGGACAACCGGGATGTCAGCTGGTAGCTTCGTCGCGCGACGACGCGGTGAAAGTCTTACAGGTGTCATTTCCCCAGAATCACTGTCGCCGGGCACCGGTTACCAATTAGCGGACGAGTCGGCGCGCTTGTGCGTGTACACACGATATACGTAATCGCAGTAGCTCTACACGTTTCCAGGTCATGCATTACCTGGAAAGTGTCCGCTGATATAACAGTTTCGCTAGACTTTAATGTGTAATTGCGAGTCGTGATAATTGTAAATTTCAGTAAATACTTTCAGTAATTGCAGATATAGAGAAAGATGAAGAGAAAAAAAATGAAAGGATACATTTTGCATTTGTCCTACATAAACTCGCGTTTGATGCTACTGCATGACTTTTCTTTTATCGATTGCTTTTGCGTCATACGTCATTGCCGTTTGTTCCGTGACGTTTTCGCAATTTTTGATTCTAGAGCATCGATAGTTGTGACGCCACTTACACGAGTCATTGCACGTGCAAGCAAATAACCCATTGTATTCAAATTTGTATGCAAATATAATTATCGTTGCAATAAAACCGACAAAGTAACTCTGTTTTCAACAATAGTTTTCATTTGTATAATTTTGATTTGACCTCTTCAAATTTTAACTAATTTCAATTTTACAAAATGTATACTTTCTTTTTAATATTATGTTTCTGTAATTTTTTAAGATTCCCGAATTTTGGAATTAGATCAATCACGCGCAGGTGTTTTTATTCTTCAGTTATATTTTAATGTAGCAATATTAATAATTAATAGCCAAGAGGCCGACATAAATAATTAAAGAGGCAAACAAAATCATAAATATGGACGAATTTAATGAATAATGGTAATGAGAAACAAAAATGAATGTATCATAATTATTAATTCAATGTGGCCGCGATAACAGTGTAAAGTTCATTATTTTCTAGAATTGTTTACAAGAATTAATGGGAATTTTTTTTTAATAACAGACTTTACAGAAGGATGGCGCCGAATATAACAAGTACTCCGACGGGGGTGCTATTTGAGGGTGAGACCCTTGAATCGCAGGTGATCGGGGAGCAACCCAAGGAGAAACCTAAATATGTTAGGCGCATCGTTTGGAGAAACGTGACGATTTTCTCGTTCCTACATCTCGCCGCCCTTTACGGAGTTTATCTCTCGTTCACGTCCGCCAAATTGGCGACCATCCTTTTCGGTGAGTGGCTCGATTTTATAGCCCGGCGTAACTTTTTAATTGCTCGCAAAATAATTATAGAATAATATAATTTTTTCTTCTTTCTTCTCAATGAAGAAATTAAATTATATGAAAATTATATTATTCGATCGGTCGCGCGATACGATCTGGAGTTCGACTAATATATTCGCATTGATTACTCCTCGTAGCAGGCTTTGCATTTACGAGAAGCTCTTTAACTCGAGCAATTAGCGGAATGTCAATTAGATCGGCTAAAATATTGCTTGCCCGACATATCTTGCGACTCTTCCGAAACGAGATTAGCATACCTGTTGCAATAGTCTTTTTTATGATTTCGCTAATTGATTCACGTTATTATCGGAATTACTCGTTGCGTTGAATTAGATTTTTCGACACGATTATTATTATCTATGTCTATATGTATAAGTATGTTACGACACATTTCTATTAGGAATAAATTTTCTGTTTCCGCGTTGTCAATCATGTCTTACGTATTCACGTAATGTAATTTGTTACAAGATAGTAATCTGAAGATTGATGATCATCAGAGCAAACGACAAGACCTTTGCGTGTAACTGTGATTTCCTCGTTTGCAGCAATTTTAATGTATCAGTGTAGCGGCTTGGGAATCACAGCCGGGGCTCACCGACTTTGGGCGCACCGATCCTACAAAGCCAAGTGGCCTCTCCAGTTGCTGCTTGTGATTTTGAACACTATGGCGTTCCAGGTAGGTGGATTTTACAGAAATTAAAGAAGCTAATGAATAATAATCTTCGAGAAAAATAAAACGGTGAATAATTCGCGGTAAATTTTTTTCACGACGAAGTCCAAGCCTAGGATTTTTAACCTTTACCAAGCATTGATTAAACATGTATATTAATATGGTAATCAATCGAATGTGAATATGATAGAATCGACTCGTTCTTGCAGCTAGTCGAGCTAAAAAAGAGAATTCATGTCGATGCGGTGATGCCGAGCACAAAAATACACGCGTCGCGTGTAAGAAATGGAAAAATAATAATGATTCAATGCGTCGTTAGACGTTGGTTAAACAAGTGATCTATTGTTAGGAAAAAAAAAGACAATCATCTCTATATGAGCTCGAGAATATAGGTGGCACGCGTTCGTGACGGAAGTACATGAGCGTGCACATTCCCGGAATATTTATATATGTAATATAAATATTCAAAGAAATATGCAAATGAGGGGGGCTAATACGAAATTCAACTACGCAACGATATTCTAATATACGAATGTATATTAGAATATAAATATACATAAAATATAATACATTAGAATATGATATACATATAAAAGTATGTATATATTAGAATCGCTTTACGTGGCCGAAACGAATTAAGACATTCTATATTGTATATCAGTGTTGATCAAAATGTAATTTTGTGGGGGTCTAGGATGCCGCGATCGACTGGGCCAGAGACCACAGGGTTCATCATAAATATAGCGAGACCGATGCCGATCCGCACAACGCTACAAGAGGTTTCTTCTTCTCGCATGTGGGCTGGTTGCTCTGTAGAAAACATCCAGAAGTCAAGGAAAAGGGCAAGGCTATCGATTTAAGTGATCTTGAGAGCGATCCCATATTGGCATTTCAAAAGAGGTACGTTTATCGATATTTGATGAGCAAAAAAATGTTTTGTTTGCGAAGTATATGCAATGAATTATTGCTCGTTTCAGATATTACATCATACTGATGCCACTCCTGTGCTTCATTTTGCCAACTGCTATTCCGGTCATGTGTTGGAACGAGACGTGGACGAACGCTTACTTCATTCCCACCATCCTCCGTTATATCTTCACATTGAATATGACATGGCTGGTGAACTCCGCGGCTCACATGTTCGGCAACAAACCTTACGACAGGTAAGTATCAACTGGTATTAAGATAGTAAAGAGTGTAAAGACACGAGTGTACATCTTAAATCAAAGTTTGTACTTAATTTTTTTCGAATGAGAAAAGTATCTAACTTATCATTCTTTATATCTCTTTACATCTCAAATCCTTAGATTTTTTTTAAATGCTTATCTTTGGAGTGGCGGGTGATTCAATTAACTAATTAATTTTTTTCTTATCTATTAGATTTATCAATCCGTCGGAGAACAAAGGGGTTGCTATGTTCGCTCTTGGTGAAGGCTGGCACAATTACCATCACGTCTTTCCCTGGGATTACAAGACGGCCGAGTTCGGCAATTACGCGTTCAACTTCACGACGGCCTTCATCGACTTCTTCGCGAAGATCGGCTGGGCCTACGATTTGAAGAGCGTATCCGAGAACATGGTGAGGAAACGAGTACAGAGAACGGGCGATGGCAGCCACGAGTTATGGGGATGGGGCGATAAGGATCAAACGCAGGAGGAAAGAGATGAAGCGATAGTGACACACCATCACACGAAGGATCAATAGAATCCTGTGAAATGTGCGTGCGAAACTATCGATTAAGTTAATTAAATTATCTAAATATTAGAGCTATAAAGATTAAGGCTTTCTTCCACATTCGTTCATGACACGGTCACGAACCAAAAGATATTTGAATCGGCCTTCCAGGACCTACGTCTCGACCGTCGCGTATCTCGATTCCGATATGTCGTTGCACGATTATTTGGCGGGTTCCATATAATACATCCTCGGAAGGCTGGGAGCAGGATTTTTCGTAATGTCGATGGTGTTCTGGAGCGCGATGCGCGAGCGCAATACTCGCTTGATAAACTTTTTTACCTCCTTTTAAGATATACACAATTAGCTTTGGAATTATATTACATAATTATTGGATAGTATTAATTATTCAAGAAATTTTTTATGCATAATCATAACGAGGATGTATATATACATGTTTGTATAATTGGAGCATCGATCAAATATATTATAATTTTGTACTTTTGCCTTTTAAAGTAACGCTTGAATCTACAGTATAGTGTGAAGGAAGAGAAATGTAAAAATATAAATGTGATTCAAAAATTACAAATTTGGCTTGATATACAAATTGTTTTTAAAAATTTACAAACGTTGCTAAGTCGTTGCTGTAATTTTAATATACATTTACTATATGACAAAATTTTGTATGTTACACCTTTTCGATCAAAATAATTAGTTCAGTTTTCAAACTTAATATTAATGAACAATACCGTCTTGTTGCGAAATCAAAATTGACTTCAAAAAGTGAAAATTGTATCATCCAGAACATCAGCGAAACATTATTCTTCAACAAATTTAAAAGTTAAATCTTCATTCTCTACTTTTCTTACGATCGTCATTAACACAAGCACACAAAAATTCTTTAAGTTTTTATTGACGGTGCAGTGAGAAGTTATTTGCTTTATTTCGTATTGAAACTACATCACATTTTCGTAATTCTTCTTTCAGTTAGTTCCTTCTTTTAGTTAGTATATATTTTATATGCTTATATATCATATTATATAAATTATAATAGTAGATATAATAATGGATTTGGTATAATTTATTTATATAACATTTATATAACATAAAACGTTTATATTTCTAATGGAAAGTAAGAAATATGTGAATAAAAAAAGTGTAAATAGTAATAAGGATTGCGTAAACCAAAGTGAACGTAAGTATCCAATGTGATGTAGCTGCGACATATGTACATCATGTACGATGTACGTTTATATTAATTTACTATTTTCATTGTATCAATTAATATAATGTATAAGATTCGAAAATAACTAATATGTGTAACAGTTTGTGATGTAAAACTGCAGCGATGAGAAAACAGGAGAAATCATGATTTCTGATGGAACTCATTGCTCCTCGCTCTAGTTAGGTAAACGCGATTATACTTTTTTAAATGATATAAATACATAAAATGCAGCACTTCTTATACTTATTTGTTACGCATCTTCCTTCTAAAGACGTCGAAAATATCTTCTCGATAAAATAAAAATTTTATTTTTTCCTTTCTCACACAAGAATACTCGCATATGGAAACGCAGCGCGTTTCGCGAGCTTTGTAAGTGGCAAATAATTAACCGATTACATTTTATTATAAGTTATATTCTATATTTATAATTGATTTAAAATAATGTTCTTGACATATGTAACAATCGTCCTGGTTGTTAGTACATTTGCTTTTAAGTTATTGCAAATTTTTACATTCGATCTTTTGGATAATGTTTTCATTTTATGTTCTTGATAATTTAAATAAAATTATAACCACATGCTTGTTTGCACGCTTGTCCGATATGGCAAGCATGTAAAATGATTGTTACGATTCGTCCAGGGCACAAAAATTATTAAAATTCTCTATATTCTTTATTAATATTAAAATTTGTCTTACTATTAAATGTAAGAAATCACATGACTGTATGTGTCGTATTATACATATTGTATTATAAAATGAGCTGTCATATTAATAACTAAAATAAAATATTTCAAAAAATATATATTTTTATGGACAGACATTACATATCTTGCGTCTCTTTATTCAGCGTGCTACACGCTGTCTTTACAACTATTTATCATTTAAACTATCAAAACGTTAGTTTGATCGTCAATTATTCAATGTAAAGGTACATACAATAATTATTCAGTGTTCCAGTTTGGCGAATATTTTTTTTATCAGACAATAAATTTATCGGGCATATCTTTAATTTAAGAGAAATAATATATTTACAGGAAAATCAGTTACATATAGTAATTTATATTAATTTATATTATGTATTATAATTTATGTAATACATATTATATTACATATATTAATTTATTTCCTTGTGTAGACTTAATTTCCTAATGACGGTATATTAGTTTCTGCTTTAGAGCGACTTCTTCCGCATTCTGTTTTATCTCTTCTAAAGCTTCATCAAACGTCTTCTCCGATATCGCTACTTTATAGAGAGCTTCTCGCACGTCGTCACTGGTGGCGGTCTTCATTTCATTGATAAGACCGAGTTCGCGCCACATCTTCACGATAAACGTGATAAATCCCGCTTCGTAAGTGCCAAATTCATCATTTTTCCAATCCCACGGTAGCATATAATGATAATTTAGCCAGTAGGACTTCGACAAGAAAAAGACAGAATTGTCGTCGACCGGGAATCTAAAACATCAATGTCAAATGTTAGAATAAAAATAAATTCAATAAATGTAATACAAAGATTACGCTATTTTACAAGAAGATATGATCTAGAAGAAAATCATTAAAAAAAAAGATTATATTAAAAAGTTATATCGAAATTTCATTAATACATGGGTTTTTAAATACTTAATACGTAAAGAATAATTAAAAAGGCCAACAACGAGCAATTTGTTAGGGTTTAAATGTTAGTAAATCTATTACATATACATATAATAAATATAAATTATACGACTATTTAGTCGTATTATTGCTAAAAAATCGCTCGTTGTTGGCCTTCTTAATTTATTTTTGTTCTTGCTTATTACAAGTCAAAAAAAACTTCATTTATTTTTAATATATAAAATTCTATTCTTATTGATAACGACAGAGTTTTATTAATGTCTTAAGAAGTATATAATTAAAAATATATGTCAAAATATTTTATGAAGATTATTATATTCAAATTTTTTTACATTTTTTTACATAATTTTTTTTATTCTATCTCGGAAATTAAAGACAATTTAAGCTTGGAAAAAACATATTGTTTATATTCCATTATTCATGATACTTTTGGAATATTCTCAACTCAACGAGAAATAAATCATCGAATTAATTTTGAATCGACATCGATACGATGATTTCGACAATCAATTCGACACCGATTCGACGTTTCACTGACGGTCATTTCTCACTGGGAAATATTCGGATTACGTTAAGTGCTATTTGCAATGAATGCCATCCTTATATCAATAAGAACAGTACCATGACTCTTCGGTATTTTGAAGAATAGCTTGTAGAAAAGCAAAAGAGTATCAAAAACAGATATTAACTTATCCCCTTTCTTCAGGCCCCAGACCAGCAAGGCGCTGTTCACTAACCAAGAAATATTGGTTGTTATTAGTAATCGCGCAGCGCCAATGACCAAAAATGAATTTGCATATGATTCATTCCAATATACTACAGCCGCGTTAATAGGCAGCAGAAGTCCGAGCACGATGAAGAGTATCCAATAGAACCTATATAACATATATTGTTTTATATTTTATTATTATTCTTTTTTGTATATATTGTAATTAAATAGACTAAAATTTACGTTCTAAAATAGAATTCTCTTAAGTAAAGAAAAATAAAATTAAAAAATATGATACGAAAAGATGTAGCAAATAAAAAATGTGGATAATTAGAGAGTCAAATAATATTAAAAAAGTAGAAACGCAAGTAAACTAAACAATAAGTATAATGACGAAGTAGATAATAATAGAAAATTTATAATCTCATTTCTTTATATAATTCTTTATGTATGAAAAATAAAAATGCACAAGGAAAAATAAAATATTTTATGATATATTTGAATTATATGTAATTGAAAAGACATACTTTCGTTGTGTCCAAATATATCCATCTGAATCAACATCACGCATATCAATGTCCCTCGCGTATGTCTTCAAGTCAGAAGGTGCTGACAAGAGATTACTGATCACGTGAGAGTAAACGAATCCTTTCTTATGATTGTACGGATCTTTCTCGGTGCCGTAATATTTGTGATGCATCCTATGCCAAAATACCCAGTTGTATATCGAACCCTAAGAGCAGACAAATTTAAATATGATTATTTTTATAATTTACATTTTTATCTTTTTATACATGCAAAGTTAAAAATTTATTAAAATACATAAATGCTAGACAACTTCTATCTTAATTATATGGTTTCTTAATATAAATTGCGAAAAGAAAAATTTGTATAGTTGTTTGATTCAATGGTTGATTCAACAATTCTTTAGTTGCACAAAGAAAGGTACAGCTCATTCAACCATCAAATGTCAATCATCAAAATTTTTTAATCAAGAATTAATTAAACCAACTCAATTAAATTATTTTGTTCAAAATACTAGTAGTATTTATTTGTGTTTGCATGCTATTTAGTTATCCAAGTAATATATTTGTTCAAATTCCAAGTATCAAACTAGCTAAACGATGCTGATGAGGATAATAAATAATGTGTATTTTTAATCGGCTGAGTTAAATACGATAAATTTTTGTTGAAACAAAATAGTTTAGTTAAAAAATAGTATTTTGTTTATAATAGTAACAAATTATTTTGTGTCATCGTAGTAACATTTAGTTGAACGTATCGGACTAAATATTTTGGTAAGATGAAACAAATTTTGCGTTTTTCAACAAATTTTTTTTCTCAGTGCACACTTTTCGCATTAAATTTGCGACTAGTCATTATAGTGAATTAACATTTCGCTATTATGTGTTGTGTAATATTCCGAATATGATAATGAACAATGATCTTCGATCTTCATAATAGAGCAATGTCATGCAATGTATAAGTGATGACAATAACTGTGCAATTCATTTGTATAAAAATATCTTGTATTAAATAAAATTATCAAAAATTTTGCGACATTTTTTTTTAAAGGGTGACAACAAAAATGTTAAACCTGCAACGGATATAGATCTGTAGAATGATTTAATAATCAAGATGTATTTTTAATAAATTAATAGTAAGTTAACATAATACTGCCATAATTTTACTATAAAATTTATCTTATTATTATTATTATATTTCGATTATTGATGTAATATTTGTTGAATCATTTATACAGGAACATAATACTGAATATTTAACCAGTGCATAAATCTTTCACTTACCACGCCTGCGATAGTGTGTGCTAACATTATAAAGAGTCTGAGTTGCCATGTCGCAACGAATGTTTGATGTGCATATAATCTGTGAGCACCCGCCGTCAGTCCTATGGAACTGATTGTGACGAGGAAAACAACTGAAATCAAAATATGAGACCATTCATTAAATGAATATCAAAGAAGATAATAGATACATTACAAAAAGTAATGTATCGACAGAAAGTTTATTTGTGGAAAATGTTTAAAGCTTGTATAGGATACTTAAAGATAATCGCAATTTGATGTTAATTTTTTTTGTAAAAAGATTCTAATTTCTGCCTTTATTTACAAAATGAGCTATAATCTTATAGAGAATTTATTCTCTATTTTTATATCATTCTGTTTCTATATTATTTGGGTTTGTAATGATTTGCGATACTCACAGTAGAATACCGTCAGCCATTTTGCTTTGACAAAAAGAAAGTATAATCCGGCGAAACCAAAAGCGTGCAGATAGATATAAAATAGAACGGCGGTCCACTTTATAGATCGTTTCTCTTCGTTGCCGCTTTTGATGGAGCTGTTGCTATTATTTTCTTCCTTGAGTTCCTTCATGTCGATACTACGACTTTAACGTTGATGTAAAAAAAATCAATGTTAATATGAACACTTTTGCAAAGACTCAATTGCCATTTAATAGCGTAGCAAACATATTTGATAATTATGTCTTGTTAAAAGATATTAAGTAGCAAAAAATAGTATAAAATTAATTAATTACGAACAGTTAGAGAATTATAACTTTAAAATGCAAAATATGTTAAACAATTTTACTCCTGATGTATCGGAAAATCGTAAATATATAATAAATGTTTAAAAATTGATTCATAGCGATCTAGAAACTACCTAAAAAACATAGTTAAACTCGGATGACGATAGAATTGTTGAATTTTATTGGGTAAAAGTGAGAGACACTAAAAAATAAATAAAAATAAAATGTAAAATACAAGAAGCATCAAAAGAAACCTTTTTCTAAAAGATAGACCAATCTATTTTACTTACTTTTTGAAACAATATCGCACTGAAACGCGCTTCTGAAAGGTCGGAAAAGAACTACTGGCAAAAATAATGTTGAGGATATTCTGACTGGCCTTACGACCCTATTCAGAATTTCATTACCAACAGAATTAAGTTATACTTTTGCTCGTCATTTCCTGCACATTAGACATTATGTTTGTCAGTCGCGCATATGGGAACACACATCTTAAATAAATTTATCATTATAAACAATTTTTTATTTTTTATCCTCTATTATTTACTGGGCAAGCGTAATCCGCAAAATACAGATTATATACGTGTTCAAAGAATTTATTTACACGTTTTCTTTTTTAAAAAATATTCAATTACTTTAAAAAATACACTCCAAATTGATCAAAAAAAGCTGCATTCAGAAGCACATTTATACTTATATGCGTGGTGTAAAAAGACAAGTATATAACATTGCGCATAATGTCGCTTGAATACAATTTGGGAAAAATTAATTGATGGTTAATTTCTAATAGCAATTTGATAGTTTTCAACATTTTGGGTAAATTTTTGATTGAAATAAAGTGATAATTCATTGCATCTTTGAAATTGTTTCACCTATCTTTTTACATTATGTTTATATAAAATAAATTAGAACTATTAGGGGTTGCGTATATTACAGATACTTGTGCCATTTTAAGACAAACTTTCTTGTTTAAAAGATCATTTTTATTTCGTTTCATTTGTAACTTAAAGCTCTAAGAATCTACCTCCGCCATTGAGGTGGAAATTACTGGTTCACGGGGAATACATATCGTCTACATGAATCTTCGTTTAATTATTGAGCAACTGAAAAACTTTATATGCAAAGCAAGTACTGTTATGTCGTGAATGTACTTTACTTACATAACAGACTAAAATAATTCATTAATCAAATGATGATTGTTTCTACGTTTATGTTTTCTGCGGGATTATCTCATGTGTGTATACGAGATACAAACATAATTGCATAAATTATCGCAATCATGCAGCATTAATAAACGGTTTCGATTAGATTATAAATTAAAATTTTCGTTTTGCTGTTAAAAATCGTACGTCTTTTAAATATTATATTTTTTCGAAGGAAATTGTGTAGTTAGAAAATATATTGAGGCACTTGCGCGAGTATAACTTTAATTATATCTTATATTTGATTGGTTGCGCTTAAATAAGTACTTTAATAATTAAGTGTATTATAATAAGTTTAGCTGCTGCACGCAACGATACACAAATATTTGTTGTACATATGTATTTATAAACAATTATATACTTACAATACGTATTTAACAAAATTCTTGTTATTCCATAATTATTTATACCATATATTATAATTTTCTATATTCTAATCTTGTACATACTTTAACAAATTTCATTGGATAATTTTTGAACTGCAGGTTGCACGGAAAAGTTCTGTGCATTATTATTATATTATTTTGTTAATATTTCAATGTACAGCATTAAATATGAAACATATTTAACACATTATTTAGAATACATATTCAACAATAATAGGATTCGCCTGTGAACAATATAGGAACTGTGTGAGAAAGAATATTTTATATAAAGGCACCATAAATATTACCATTTTATAATATGTTTAAGCTAATTGGTCTACGTAACATTTCGAGATATTAAGATGTAAAGCTTGAAATTAAGCGTAATCATCAAGAATATGAAAAAGATATACATTTTATGAAAATATAAAATAATTTTAGCTTAAAAACGAATTATAATTAATGACAAATTATATGAAGATTCCTGTGTGCTTCAAATTTTGACGAAATATTAATTAAAATTTCATAAAACAACATAAAAAGGATTTGTTGAGAAAATTATCTTAATAGCATGTGATGACTTTATTTTCATCCTTAATTGATTCTTTTAACTGCGCAAATCGTTAACAACAATTTTGAACTGTTTCCAAGTTTTAAAGTTTAAAAGAAAATCAAGAATGCACATAATCTTATCGTATAATGTAATATATCAATAACGGTTTCTCTCATTTAGAATATTGTACATTCACGTTTAATAAAATAAAAATTCATAATTGCATACTTTCATAATTGCAGTTGTACAACTGTAATTATACAAATAATGGTTACATACGAATTATATCGAACGTAGTACGTATATTATATTAAACAGTGGCTTCTCCTGTACCAGACCCTGTAATAGACCCTCGAGTATGCGAAATTTATCGTTCAAGTTGTACGTTGTCACGGTGAAATTTATTATTATCTTATTGCAACAAACAATGTTAACAAATCCCATAAATACAATAAATAAACGGCCAATGTATACATTTTAATTCTACGATAAATTTTATGGATAATTCATGATTGTCATAATTAAAATACTTTAAACAGTTTATTTATTAATCGTTGGCTATATAATGGAAAGCCAACTATATTTTTATCGACTATTTTGCAATTAAAATATCTCTTTAATCCTAACAAAACTACAAACATTTCCCAATAGTATACAGCAATTTGCAAAACTTAAAGTTACAGAGAGTCTTAAATTCCCATGTTACATTAGCTTCAATCTTTGAGAAAAAGACTTCAAATGGTCCGCGTATAATATATATAGGAGATGCTTCTCCTTGACGTATTTTTTTCGATCCATCCGAGAGAATCTGATCGAGACACATTTCCATCTCGAATTTATCAGTCTCACAGCTCGTGATTGTCCATCACATCCAACTCCGCCAGATCTTCCTTCGAGATATCGACATCGCCGTAACCCCATACGTGACTCCCATCGCCACATCGATACGCCCTGCGATGGATCATATCTGGCGAGACGTATTTCCGCTCGTAGGCCCAACCGATTCGCGCGAACGCGTCGATGAAACTGGTGGTCCAATTAAACGGGTTCTCACCCAGCTCGCCGGTCTTGTAGTCCCACGGGAACACATGATGATAGTTGTGATATCCCTCGCCAAGCGATGCGATCGATACTGCGATGTTCTCCACCGGCGAGATGCTCCTACGAGCAAATCGAATTTAAAATATCAAAAGACTGATATCTAGATGAAACGTCTATGATATGTAAACAATTCATCGGATTAAAATAATTGTTTGTTTTTAATCGCTTCGCGTAGCAATGATTTTCGATGGATTGTTCGATTTAGTACATACTTATCGTAAGGTTTCTGCCCCCACATGTGTGCCACACTGTTGACACAGAAGGCTATGTTCAAATTGATGCAGAAGCGAAGATTGAAATTCACCCAGAACGAGATCCATAGCGACTCTGACCAAAAGTAACAAGGAATTCCCACCGGTAATACGATGGTCAGAAGCAGAAATAGAGGTATATACCACCTACGGATAAGTTGATACAAAATTAATTATGTTACGAAGAGATGACACAAATTGAACAATATACAAATGACAATAAAGATGTGATTGAGATATATATTCCACACATTTTTCCTTATATACTCTGGTATACTTCTTTTTTTTAATATTAAGAAAAAGCAAACGATGTGATCGAACAAATACCATAAGCCTCTTGCCTTTTTTGCCACATAACTATGGAATCCGCTTCTAAATCGCTCATATCGACCGCCTTGCGTTTAGCAACGACGTCGGGATGAGGTGTCGTGAAAAGCCATCCCACATGAGCGAAGAAGAAACCTCTCCTCGCGTCATGCGGATCCGCATCGGTTTCACTATATTTATGATGTACCCTGTGATCCAACGCCCATGTGTACACATCCCTCTGCACAAGAAAATTACTGTTAAAAAAATCCTTGACAAAAATCGTTAACTTATTTTTCAATATTTGTGTGTGTACTGTGTGTATATATACGTATACATTCAAAATAAACGTTTGTCCTTAAAATGTCATATTCTTGACTTAATTCCAAGATGATTATTCATTTACCAAAATTTTTTTACCAATGTTTAATTTTCAAGTTAGAGTAAGAAATAGTTAGTCCAACGGCACGTGGGACTTTCGCGATGATCACTTAATACACACGATAGTGCATACATATGCGATTTTTGCATTCACACACACACACACACACACACACACACACACAAAATTACTTTGTAAAGATTTGATGACTATGTGTTGCTGTAGCTTCTTGAGAAAGACGGATGAATTTCCATTTCAATGGACAATGTACAACTCCAAACAAGTATTTATGTTAATGAACTTCCATTCCTTTTAAATCTAATGCAGATATTGTGACATGTTATCACTGACACAGATCGCGATACAGATCAAGTAATTAATCAGTTCTCATTTTTTTATGAAACATATCAACATATTCACGTACAAACTATTCATTCATTTGAAGAAAACGAAAAATCTACTAATGTATCTATCCGTTAAATCATTTTACTATAATAATGATTCGTAATGATCAATCATTATTAGCAAAACACATAACTATCAATTTTTTGTTTTCTTCAAGTAAATGAATAGTGTGTATGTAAATCGAGTTGAATATATTGAATATGTTGAAGTGACACGTTTTTATAAGAAAAGAAGAATTGATTAATTACCTGATCTGTGCGATCTGTGTCAGTAATGTGTAATATCTAAGATCGTAAGATTTAAAAAGAAAGAATGGAAATTTATTAACATAAACACTTGTTTGGAGCTGTATGTACATGGTCCATCAAAATGGAAATTTATTCGTCTTTTTCAAGAAGCTACAACAATATGAGGTCATTGAATCTTTAGAAAACAATTTTGTGTGTGTGTGTGTGTGTGTGTGTGTGTAATTTGCATTAAAGATACATATAGGTAAAAATATATTTTAATACATTTACTTTATATTTTTCGCGTAATAGCGATAATAATATAGTCAACGTCTTATAACAATAGTAATAGAGAAAATTGTTATTATGTAAAGATTTACACACCTGTCCTGTTATCGTGAAGAGGAAGACTAGAAGCAGACGCAAAGGCCATTTCGCTTTGTATGCCTTGTGCGACCATAATCTGTGAACGCCAGCCGTGATACCAAAGCCAGATGTATAAATCGTCACAAATACTGTAAATAAAAGATATATCCATTGAAACATTTTCAGAAGTGTATCTGTATGGTTAAAGCAGAGCAATAACATTGAAATATCTTATCACTTACTTGCCAAATTAGATTTTAATGCAATCTCACTTATTATTTTTATTAAAAAAAAAAAAAAGAAAATTCTTTACACATGATAATTGTAAAATAATTATTAACTCTGTTTTTTATTTTTCTAATTTCTTATTTTTGCTATCTTTCGGCTTATTTAAATCAATTTTTATTTCAAATTCTTATACTCATCTTTTCGTATTTTTAATATTGGTTTCTTACAGAGATAGATAATTACAAAAGCTCGCAAAAGAAAATATATTTTCAAATTATAACAATTGTTTCTTCTTCAATCGCGTTCCTTAAATGCAAGATTGAGACGTTATGTTCGCCGTGTTGCACAGTATAACGTATAACCACGAATGCAGAAATCCGAGACGCGGTATCGTTATCGCGGTTTATCCTTCCGTTTTACGAGATCCAGTGCAAGCAGGTTCGATATGCCGGCTTTAAATCGAATGCAAACACGTGCGTAACCCGTCTCATTATCAGGCTTTTCTCATAAGTGCTATCGTAGCCATAGCAGTGCGTGTTTCTACCCTGCCATTCATTATCCACGGCCAATGCCGCGTGTGTGATTCAATCCGTGGAGTATAGCTTGTAAGTTGTATACTCGGTTGCGTATGACGCGAATTTATTTCAAGCGCCTTGACATTCGCATATGCATGTTAAAGTTTAGAGCCAGCTTTTGCGGCAAGTAATCTCGATTTATATTTATAAGAACATAACACGGTGATAAGAAATTACAAAATTGTAAAAAAAAGTACAGAGAAAACATGACAATAGAAAGTTTAGACAATAAAAAATCTTCACTAACAATATTTGCATTGTTTATAAAAAAAAATATAATTATTATAATCGTTTCTAATCTCCACTATTGACATTTTAATCTCTAGTATAGTAAGGAGAACCTTGTAAGTTGTACATAACAGCTAAGAGATTTATAAATGATCGCGGCGACATAATTTTATTCGAATGAATTGCATGCTCTCATCTATCCATTGCACGCGTGTAGTAAAACGTGTTAAGAAACGACAGATTCGCAGATAGAAGGTAACCCAATGCTCGGTGTAGTATTCAGTCAAGCGTTACAACATCAGAATTACAGCGCTGATATTATTGTGATTAACTCGCAAATGACGCAAAATTACCGACGCGACCTACATTTTTGCACTATCGTAAATCAAAGTTTACTTCCAAGATTCTCATACTTCAAGGATTGTTGTTTCACGGATACGAACAAAGTAATCATAGCATGCAAACAAGTGCTAGAATCATTATAGTTAAATAGAATTGTGAAAATTGGTAAATTGATAAAATAAAAATTAAAAATAAAATTGCGAAAAGTAAAAATTAATTTTGCACGTGTTAAAAGCTTGATTTATACTTCTGTATGATAATATCTGTATGATCTTATGAAGTGATAGAATAAAAAAAAGATCAATTATACTGTAAAATTAAAAATAATATATAATAAATAAAATAATGTCAGTTATTATTCTGTATCATGACAGAAAATAGTTGACTTACAAACTCAAATATTTTAATTAGATTGTCTAATTAAATAAGCATTTGCTGTCTTGTGTACACATATTATGTAAATTTATCTCCATCTATCTGATAAGCGATAACAAGACTATATTCTGGTATTCCAAAGCATACAAAAATGACTTGTTCAAATGCGTACTATACAATCTTAGAGACGTACGAAGAGATGTTTATATCAACGTTATAAAGCTGCACAGGGAGATGTGTAAAAAATATTCTTTTCGCACTAAAGAGTACAAGTCAATATTCCTACTACAATATTAAAATAAAAAATTGATACAATTAAACGAATTAGACTAAACACACATTTAAACACGTGTCAGATAAAGAAATTCGCCTTACCCCATAGGGCTGTAAGCAATTTCGCCTGCGTGAGCACCAAATACAACCCGTACAGAGAGCCGCCGTGTATGAAGATTTGCGCGCCGAGATCGAGCCACTTTATCCTCGGCACGTAATCGATCGCCGACTCATCGTTCTTCTGGATCGTTGCTTCGTGGCCCTTCGCTGTTTCATCGTTCGCCAACTGATTCCGATTCCTCTTCAGCGTCACGTTACAATCCGTTTCCGTCTTGGGACACATCGTCGGCGGAATCCTTTCTTCGTTCGGCGACATTCTCGTCAAGGACGTGTTAGGTTTGAAGACCTTGCAATCGTCTTAGAAACACGTCCCGGGGACAATAGATCCACCGTTGATCCTCCGGCACAATAATTCGATTCAACCGCTACACTGCATTTCGACTAACTTTCACGAGATTGGCCAATACTCGTGATCCGATTAATAGATCGCGATATCGTTGTCCTAAGTCAGGCGAATCTAGATACAATAAACCGAAATTTTAGATCGTTTCATGAAGGATTCTCTAGATTTCTAAAACGTGGACAAATGTACGTGTCGCTTAGTACCTTTTCTTTAAAAAATATTCCACATAAAGCAATTTCAAATTTATCAGAAAATTAACTTCAAGATTTTTAGGACATTTTGTTCATTTCTTTCTTTTGACAATTCTACGTTATTCGAATACGAATATTCTGCGGTAAAAGCGAGGAGATTGCATGTTCTAGCTAGCACATTACATATTGATCGCTGATAACGTCACTCAGTTTACGTCGCGATAAGATTATCTGTTTCTAGGTATTCTCTAAAACTCGTTATTAAAAGAGATCATTTTCTCTGGATTATTTTATCGTTTGGTTTCTTTAATCAAGTGTAAAATAATTAACTTCATTATAGGTTCGCGCACTAATGCAGATTGAAATTCCGTAAACATCAATTTTCAATTACCGACGTTGAAACAGAGTTATCTTAAACTCGCAGAACATCTGGTATGAACTCCAGTGTCCATTTCTGATAATCAACTGGGGACAAGATCGGTAAATGTACCTTTAAAAACGTACGAATTTATGTGAATTATGGCAAGGCTACGTCTCGTTAACATGTTACGTATGCCTCGGTATGTAAATTAGTCTAGCACAATCGCGGAAACATTTTCCACGCTGACTTGACAACGACAGGTGCAATCTGCAAAAATATCCTCGACCTAATACGCCGAGCATTATAACACGTTAGCGAACATATTAACAGTACGCGTCATGTTTTGTTAATCTGAATACTCGAAAATAGATAAGACAAATATTTCTCATAATTTTTATAAATTTTCCGGGTGAAAAGGTATATTAATAATACAGAAAAATGTAAAATGATATGACTATTTAAGCACACATTACACGGAACATTTTGTTTTACATTTTTGTATCTTTGCCAATCAAATGTAATTTAAGAGAGAGAGTTAGCAAAATATTAATAAGCATAATAAAATTCATTCGGAGTATAATTGAAAAGTAATATAAGACAAATTTGTTTTTTTATTTCATTAAGAGAGATCATCAATATGTAAAATTATTTTGCAATGTACATTTTTATTCCGAAACACAATAATTAAAAGCAAAAAAGAAGCTAAATCTCCTGTTAACTAAATGAGAAGATTCAAGAAACATTCTTGACATGCTAATTTGTAAGAAATGATAACAATGCAGTAAAACCGTTTACCGCTAATGCATAAAACGTAGTCGTGCTTTAAGCATGTTAGTAGTAGAATAGTGCTTTACTTGCATTAGTACATTTACACGAATATAGCATATGACAATAAGTTCTCTTTTTTATAGCTTAATTTAAGTAACAAACAGTACCCATTACAGTGTCCAGTATTCATAACTGACATATTTCAAGAAAACTATAATTATAATTTTTTGCATTAATTATAAATAAAAATCTATTTCTTATATTGTCACATTTAAAAAAATATAAGTATAATTTATCATAATTATATCATACAACAACAATAATATATATTTATGCTATTTTTATAATTATATGTATCGAGAGTCGATTCTACTTGATAATTTATCAAGACTTACAAGAATATTAGCTTTTCCTCATATCAGCAAAACATACCAAGAATAAATGATAAGCGCAAAATTTTTCGGCATTTTGATATCTATTGATAATTGACTTTGAACGCCAATGTCAAACTTGGAGGATGACATTTGACAAGAGAACCGACTGATCGATCGACAGACTCCAGCTCGAAAACAATTCGTTACTCGTATCGAGATATCGTACGCAGTTCTATCGTGTGTAGTTGGAAGAAGTACATACATTGCAGCATATTTTTCTAATTAATCTAACAAATAATAATAAATCTGAATAATTTAAATAAAAATAATAGATGCATTGCTGTTGTAAACATACAAAAAATGTATGCAAAAAATTAATTCATTTATTATTTATTACAATATAAGTATTAATATTCATATATAATAATTATATCAAAATGTTATAAATATATCATAATGTTTAATAATGTTTTATTATTTTTCTTTTGGTAAAATTAAAATAGTAATTTTTGCATGATTGTTAATAAAAAAACTTTAAACTATTCTTTAACCGATATGTAAATCTGATCTGAAATTATATCTTGCAAACATTTAAAACAGAGTTTCCTCCTTTTCGCACCTTTCTCATCCACTTCTTCAGTCCCTTTCTTCGCTGACTTGAAATTCGATCGATCAGTGCTCTCGATTACTGGAGAACACGCTTATTGTGTGTTTCATTGCATCGCCGATTCTCGAATACATATGTAAGAGTATTCCGACAGTTGTCACAACCGTACGTTATACGGTACGACTTTAAAAACCTTGATCGACTGATTTTGTCCTTCACTGAGAATACGACAAGATTAAGCAAAACACAATAATGTTTAATTTTAACGGCAAAACATCTCGTAACGAATAAGGCAATTCGCGTTTTATTTTGTGCATTTTATTCTTCAAATGCTAATGGCACTATTTTATGTTATAATAATTTATTTTTAAACATTAATATGTAACCGTATCACTATATGCAAGTCAAATTATATTAATTTATTTAATTTATTGTACGATTTGTATTTATACATCAATTCATTTTCAAAAATTTAAATACAGCAGAGCTGATAAATAATTCATTAATTAGATAAATCGACTGTAGACCCATACAAGCAAATACAGAAGGAAATATTTAAGTGAGTTCTCGATAACGCTTTAAATAGAAACAAGTGAAGTTAAAGACATTGAAAGACGTCATCGAAGATTCCTTAATATCCGGCTCCATTTATTCAAGCTATTTCTCATTAAACTAATGGTGTTTACTCGCATTACTTTTAAGATATTAAGTCAACACGTAGCTAAAGCGAAAAGTTCCAGGATACTTCTTATGATTAAAAGCAAATTAAATCTATAGAGTACAGTACGCTCGCATGCGTATTTGATAAAGATAATACCACATGACGAAAATCGAAATTATTTCTTCTAAACATTTTCTTTATGCATACGTTTTATATGTTATATATTTAATATTTAAAAATTAAAAATAATAGATTAAATGCAATTGGTTAATAACTATTACTTGTTATAAAATTAAATCTTTAGTTAATAACATCAAATATTCCTTAATTTAAACAGGTCAATGAACTAATCGCATCTTCATGTTTTATACATAAAAGCCGAAAGTATTTGCTCAAGGAAGAAAGCATTGTCTCGAATTCAGGCGTTTCGCAGATCAGTTTAATTATGTTGGTGAATGTGTGCGCGGAACCGACACCGAGACACTTTCGGTCCATTCTGAATCTAAAGGTCAATCCACAACTCGTAGGCATGTAAGTTATCTGTATGCCAAAAATATTTCTACGTCCAACCGGTTTCTTTCTGTTGCGTAATACATATTCGCACTCGTAAGTTATCATAGACGATAACATTACGACTCTACATAAATCATTTTATACATTTTTTTAAATCTTTTTATATTATATCTTTCAAAATTTATTAAATTATTTATATCAAATTATGTATTAATTAATCCTCTTGTATTAATGCTCCTCTTAATTAGATAAGTTTAACTTACCTAATTAAGAGAATATAAGATAATTAAGAAAACATAAAGAAAATTCATCTTTTATAAATATAGAAATCAGTTTTAAAAAGATAAATTATTCTATACGTGTACATCTTATATATCTGACATCTAGCATCTCTGTGTTTACAGAATTTTTTTACCGCACTTGCGCTTGATTATTAACAACAAAAAGTGACATTAGCATTTTCAATGAATAATTTTGCGTAGTTTTACATCTAGCAATCAAAATATCATACGTGCATTCAATGCAATTTTGCAAAAATTTGAAAATAAAACAATAGTAGAGAATAAAAAAAGAACGTGCTGTTTACATTCATGTTCGAGCAAGTGACTGGAGCAAAACGTACGTCACCTATATTCTCATGGTCTTCCGATGATGTCATACGTCATAAAATATAATTATCTTAAATCGGAAATGGTAGGTTTTGTCTAAGCGCACTTGTCCAAGCGATAGAAGGTAAACGGAATTTGCTATTATTCTATTTCATTTGTGATTTTTTTAAATTCATGAGTCATGTTTTTTCTTAATTGTTTGCTTTGCCTTCTACTATCTAGTAAACACTTGTTTTTCATCTCTTACGATTGCGATATTAACGATCAAGTACGCACATACGTATGCATACGTCGTAAAGATATAATTGCTAAAAAGATATTGCGTATTTGTGATTACAAAATTCTCATGAGTTACTATGAGATGCTGAGACAGTTGCACATATTAGAAAATATTCTTTAAAGTTTTAACAACGTAAGTATATTTTAAATATACTTTGTAATTTCAAACTGCAGACTAAAAAATGTTAAGATATTATATTTTTCTTACACAATAAATTTTACAATTAATTATTGGCTACAAGTCTATACAAAAACGCGATTAATTTATAATTTAATGTTAAACAAGACTCGTTATTTAATCGGCGAAAGATTGACTCGCTGGATTCAACAGCGAATTATACGATATTTGCTCCTCGACACAATTGCGAACGAAACGCGCGCCACATGCGATCAATATTTTCTCGTTCGCATACACGCCGGTTTCAAATATCGCACTTTCAATCTTCGACAATGATGAACGCACGTATGTACATCATGTATCCGACGTATTTGTCACAACGCATACTTCATTTTCTACTGTTGACCTCCCTTCGTTGCAATTACGTTATTTGCTTAGCTCACTTAATTGTCTGTGAACTACTTCTTGCGTCGTCTCGGGTCGCATATTTACTCGCGTGCACGAAATGTCAATTTTAATTATTTGAGAAAATTAATTTCAGTTAGTTTAAATTATTAATTTCAATTAGTCAAAAACATTGAAATATATATTTGCATTATTTGATTTCGTTTTTATCATTAGAAATTAAATTATGCACATCGCTATTTACTATTATTTTTTCTTATTAAATTAACTATATTGTAATATATATTAGAGAAAATAACGTAACGTCCCCCTAACATCGAAAAAATACGCATTTGTGCTGCACACCCGTTATATCGTCGGAGAAGAGAGAGATGTGCCGTCAGTGGCGCCATGGATCCTAAGTATAGGAGATGGATTTGAGGTTCTCTCATCAATGGAGATAGATAGAAGTTGTTCACGTTCTTTCATCACGATACCATTTTATAGAATTGTATCCATCCGTTCTTAACAAATGGCAACGAATCATCTTGATGGAGTGTTTACAAATCATAAAGTACAATTTTTACAATTTTTCGTTAGTACACATTATACGTTGTAGAAATTTGTTATAATTCAAAAGATTAATTATAATACATGAGTAACAAGATTA